TTCACGCTGCCTTGCCTGCTCTCCATCTGCTCTAGCTGGACTCTTTTAATGGTGTATGGTTTCATCCATCTCAGGCAAACAACTGCTAATGTCTCCTCTGCCCTTGTAGGCTCTTGACAAGGTTCCAGTTGCTTGCCCTGGACTGCCGTTCTCTTAGGGGTCTGAAATAAGATTTAAATGTGAACTGACTTTAGTCTTATTTCATTATAGACATGGATAATGTTTCTTGTAGCTCTCGGTATTTCCATGGAAAGGAGACTGGCTTTCACAGCGTTTATTATATGTATGTTATCTGAAAATAGGATATAAATGAAGAGTCTGTCTCAGTAGGTTTAAAGGCTTTACACTTCCTCGGGAGTTCCCAGGGATTTCCATGTTTTACAGGTTCAGGGACTGTATTTTAAATAACAAAGGTTAGAACTTTTTTTTTTGTTCATTTGTTTTTTAAGGTAGTAGGAAATTGAAGCCATACAGATAGTAAGTGTAGGTGCATCTGAGTTGAGCAGTGTAAACAAGTATCATCACTATGCTGTAACATGTGGTACATTTTACAAAGTGGTAGAATTTTAGATTTGCATGTGCAAATGGTCTTATATGTTAAAGAAATTATCCTAGAATTTTTTTTTCTGCTTTGAAGGGGTTTCCTTCAAAGGAAACATGACCTGTTAATATGGTTTTGTAGCTACAAAGCATGAATAATGTATAACAGAGGCCACATTCTGATGCTGTGCCCAATGCCAGGTTTGTACTGCTGTAGTGAATACTTGAGACAGCTGATTTTATTACAACATAGAACTTACCTTGGAGTTTTGGAGGCAGAGTCTTGAGAAGCCTAACTGTTCAAGCCCTGCAGATGCCTCGTGATTGCATTCCTTCATGGTGCAGACAGCAGCGTGGGAATCCTGTGGAAGCCATTAGCAGATGGGTAGAGGCGTAAGTGGTACAGTCTCCATACACGAAGTCAGGGGCAGGGGAGGAAGGATGTGCATGAGAGACAGACTGACCCTGGATCTCATAGGTTCCCATAGTCCCTTTCTAGGGCCTATCCCCAAGGACCTAAGGAATTACTAGGCCTTGTAGAGAGAGATTCTGTCACCCTCAGCAGCACTACCCTAGGGCCCATCGCATCTTTGGAAATCAGTCAGGCTATGCTCAAACCGTGGCCGTGGTGAACCACATATACCATGGTGCTCCAGAAACTCGGAATTGCCTGGCGACAGGATCATTGTTTAAATACACTCGGTGACGTTTGCACGACTGGAATTTCCTGACAGTACTTTTCTCAGATGTGCCCCTATTAAGTGATGCACGGCTGGATTACTTTTTTATTTTATTTTATTTCCTGTTGTTGCCTAGAACATACTCCCCAGTCAAGCATTTCGTCAGGGAATATCTCCAGACACAGAGCATTTTCATCTGCCTTTTAAAAGTGCTGTTCTCCTCCTGTGATTTCTGCACTTATTTTTGATTACTCAGAATTTTTTGGTATAAGCTCACATTTACAGACTTTTAAGTATTGTTCAATAAATATTTTTTTTCCCTTCCGTGGATCATTAGGAATTGAATTCCTGGGATGGAGCGCTGTTGTCTCAGTCATAGGTTACAGAACCTTGGGAAGCAGTCTGTGCGACAAAGAATAACAGGCAAGAAGTGTATCGGGTTCTGTTGCTGCAGTCCTTACCGTAGGAGAGAAAGGGAGACCCAGGCCCAGCTTCAGCAGGGAAAGGAATACAATTTTGGTATAATAAAATCTGAAGAGAAGACTCAGATGCCCCTGGGGAGAGTTCTAGAAGTTGGGGTGACCCTTCTTCATTGTTCTGAGGTGGTGGGGAGTTCTTAGTCTCGCTTCTGTGAAGCGGGGCTGTTGACAGTAGACGGTTCTGGGCAGAGTCTAGAGCCTTAGGTAAATCAGTATTCTCCAGCTGCAGCCTCCTCTGCTCCCCCAGACCATGGCTGCTGAGAGCCCTCTCTTAGGCCTGCAGGCAGCTGAAGCTTGTATTGTACAGCCAGTGTTCACTGCGATCAGAGCACTTTGGTGTGCATTTCCTATAAACTAGAACACCAGAGGAGAAGAGGTATTGGCGAAGGGTTAACCAAGACTAAGGATTTTTGAAGAAATCTTAGAGACCCTACTAGTTTGTAAACTAATTAAAAATACAATTAAAAGGGGGGGGGAGGACATTTGAACAGGGGTACCACGAATGAACAGTATTGCTCCCAGGAGACAGTTTATTAGTGAAAATCTCAGTGCTGTGTACAGGTCGTTGCCCTATGAGTTACTGGCCAGGGAGGCCCCGGAGTCATCCATACAGTAGCGGCTGTTGCTACTGTTCCTGCTATGTTACCCATCACGACTAGGTTGTAAGACTCTGTTGCTGAAGATACCACATTGGTTGTAGGACTTGGTGAAATCAATCCTTGAGCTGACCAGAGAATTCTCTCTCCCTCTGGCTAGCTTTCCTGGTGCTAGAAGGTGCTGTGTAGGCTGCTGGGGCATGGGAGGGAGGAGAGACATCAGTGGTCTTACCCAGTACTGCATGCTGCAACACTGACCTGCCAGTCAAGATGTGCCTACAGCTGCAATAAAGGCAAGACAGTTTATAGGGTAACCAACCACTCTCTTGATTGGATTTGAGGCCTGCTCCCCAGGATTGAAGTCATGCCTGGCACTGAAAACACTGAAAATCCAAGTCTTGAGAAGCCATAGGCCCATGGGGAGAACTTATTGATATTGTTTTGCTAAGTGGTCATGTTATCAAACTTTTTTCTAAATATTTATCTGTATATATGCTGCCCCCAGCCTTAGTCAGAGAAGCTGCTTCCTCTGTCAGGTGGTGGTTCATGCAGATGTCCGTGACTGTTCAGGGTGCTGGGAGTGAGTGACTGAGCCGTCAGTAGTAGTGCAGAAGAGTGGGTAGAAGGACCGGGAGCCGTGACTCCTATTAGTGTTAATAGAGCTCTTTTCTAGTCACTGATTCTGTTGTCACCAGCACTGCTGTTGCCTTCTCGTGCCGATGTCCTTTCCCTTTTGTTTGGGCACTGACACCCAGTGCATGTCCCTACCACTCCTCAACCAAAGTGGATTTCAGTACCTTGTTCCAGCCTGACCTCTGGCCCTGCTATGCATCTGCTCCCACACCCAGCTTTAGCTGTGAGACCTGTTGTGTGTCACTCTGCCTTCCTCACCCTTTGCATAAATGCCTGCCGGACTTAGTCTCGTCTCATGACTGTTGGGCTACATCTATGGGAAGGGATCACTCCCCATTTCTCCTCTCCCGCTTGTTTACAATGGGCAGTGTTTTAAGGCTAAGCCCAAAGCCTTGCTCTTCGGGAAGGCTGTCCTCTGTCAGGAGTGCAGTTCTTCCCGCAGGAAGGTCACAGTGTGCGTGCGGTCCAGCACTCTACTTACCTGTGTCTGTTTTTACACTCTGCCAGCTCTGTGTATGTAACTCTTGGATACCAGGGACAATTTTCTATGAGTTTTTTTTTTTTTAAAAAAAGATAACTATTAAGGTTTTATTTTGTTTTCCAGTCATAAGTGGAAAGGCAGATTGAAAAACTTTCTAGCCGATTTGTGGTAAAATTCCCTTATTTTTAAATGCAAGGTTTAACAGATGAACTTGGCTTCATCATAGATTAGTAAAAGCCTACGCTGATAGTTGAATGCTAGTAAAATTGAATAATTTAGAAAGAAAACATTCAGCTTCTGAGGAAAATAATTTCTTAATTTGCATATGTAGAGTTTATGCATAATTTATTAAATAATCTATTTTTCATTTGCTTAGGCTGTTTCTGTTTTATATGGTTCCCAGGATTTAAATGATGGTGATTTAGTTAAATAGTGTCATCTCCAAAAACGTGGCAGCAATTTTTAACTTTGAGTAATTGTATAAAGTGCAAACTTTTCTACAAATTTTGTTGAGCGCCTCAATTCACAAATCACTCTATAAACACAGATGTGTGTGGTGATCGTGACCAATCTCATCACAGGTGTTCATACTTGGTTACTGTGTATCCATTCTGCTCTTCACTGTCAGACAGAAGAGCATGCTGTGTGTTTCTTCTGGTCTCCTAGTGATAAACCCGTGGAACATTTCACAGAGAGGATAACCAATAGGGAATTGAAGATCAAGCATGGCTGCACATAACTGTAGGTGTAACTACTTGGGAAAATGAGGCAAGAGGGTTTTTTGAACTCAGGGGTTTAAGCCACCCAGGGCAATGCACTACAACCCTGTCTCAACAAACAACCATCAAACGAATGGACAAATGAGCCAGGAGTTGATGGGGAAAATGAAAGTGGTGCATCACGGACATGAAAAGTGTGAACTGAGTGTGAGCGCGCACTTCTGATCCCAGGCCAACTGTTATAGTGAGGAGGACAGGGAGGAGGAGGATGCAGTGTGATTGTTAGGTTGCTTTGTATTATCGTAGTCAGAGACCTGAGACCAGGATGATGGCATTTTGATAAAGGTTTAATAAAGTTATCATGCCTGGGTATAGTGTCACATGACAGAAGCTGTCCTCTGGCTTCCACACGGGTGCACCTGCCTCATCTTCACCCTTTCCTTTTTCTGTCTTAAGAAAGGTTTCACTAAGCTCAGGCTGCCCTGGGACTTGACTCTGTGGTCCAGGCTGGCCTTAGTGCTGGGGTTATAGACATGTACTCCTGGGTGATGGGGGTTGGAAAGTAATTCTTTAAGGTCACAGAACAATTTTAATTTTTTGCTACTGGCTATTATTATTATTGTTGTTGTTATTATTGTTACTCAGTGTTGGGGATCTAAGACACACCAGAGCCTTGCCCGCTAGGAGCTAGACCTAGCCCCCATTGGCTATAACAGCAGCATTTAATACTGCATCCAGTTATACAGTACTGTGCATAGTATACTGCCTGTATACTAGCATATAGCACTTAAAAATTCTTAACATATTTTATTTGTGCACACATTGTAATGACTCCATTGCTTGACTGCATTCTGATTTTAGAATATTTTTAGCATGCAGATTTCCCAAACCCGAGATGGTCATTGTGAAGCATGCGAAGGAGGTATCATCAGCAGAGACCCCTGATAGTTTTGGTACAGTACAATCTGACAGTGTTGTTTGGCCGATGTTTATTGCAAATAGCTAAGCATCTAATTGACAGGACTTCTTGCTTGTTCAAAATAGAATGCTTAAAAACTTTCCTTTTGCATTAATATTTTAGACTGTCATGAGATTGTTTGCATTATCTAACCCTGGTCTGTGGATGTGATTAGGTAATAACTGCACACTTAACTAAAGAAGGGATTGAGTTTGTGACGCTGAGAAAATAACAGCCAGGGAGCCTCGTTTCTTAATGCTCCACAAGGAGGCTGAGACAAGAGCTTTACTAGTTCAAAGCCACCCTGGGCTACGAAACGACACCCTATCTCAATGCACACCCCCCTCCCCCATATATAGACATGTGCTCTTGAAAGTCTAAAAGTTTATGTAAGTTCTAAGTTCATGGTAAAGCCAGAAGTGAAAGGCTGTTTTGTTCTTGGTTTTTGATTTGCTATCTGTACAGTTGCATATAATAGTAGAGGTGGAATTGTGTGAATTTGTGTTTATGTTTGAAGTTCACACAGGGAAAAATAGTTTAAAATCGATATTCTCTATCCTAGTTTCAATCCATAGTCTATTTAACATTCAACATTAACGAGTTAACATTTAGCCATGCCCAGCAATGCAGTACAGTGGATGAAAAGTATCTGAATGATTTTTATGGCTTTATGGGTTAAAGAAATTTTGTAAGGCTAAGGATTAAATACTTCTCAGAAAGTATTTATCAAGGACAAAAATCGAGTTGCCGGAACTTCAGAGGAATACAGAGGCACAAGCCTGTGTGTGCACGTTTGTACAAGCCTGTGTGTGTACGTTTGCACTCACATTGGCACACTAGTTCCTTACCTGTAAAATCCTCTACTCGGTTCTGCTTTGTTAATTCTAATGCAGTGTGAAAAGAAAGTAAGCAGGCAAGCATGCACATTTAATGCTGGTATCTTTTGAAGAATAGTTTTGGTTTTGAGTTATTCTGCAGGCTGTTCCCCGTGTGGGCATTAAAGGAAGACTGTTCCAGAGCGGACTGTTGGTGCTCATCCCCAGAAGTTACTGCGGTGCCGAGTGGGAAGTGCACTAACAGGAGGGCACACGTGGGGCTCAGCATTGGAAACTCAGTCTCTAGTTATGCCCCTAGTTATTCCGTCTCTTTGCAGACATTTAGGTAGTTTCCCTCCAAAAGCTACCAGTATGCAGTAGAGAAGGAGAACACAATTGAAAGGTTCAAAGTTCTTCCCCCCCCCCCCCCCCCCCCACAGGGTTTCTTTGTAGCTTTGGAGCCTGTCCTGGAATTCACTCTGTAGACCAGGTTGGCCTGGCACTCACAGAGATCCACCTGTCTCTGCTGGGATGAAAGGTGTGTGACACCTGGAGAGCACTGTTGAATCTTTGGGAATGCAGAGACTTCAGACTCTCGATTGTGCACCTATGACAATGTGTTCAGGACTTGGCATCTGTTTGTTGTCACATCAGGCGTTTGCATCAGCCCTGCAGAGTTTTAGTTCAGTGCAGTTTCAGGACAGTGGATCTGTTCAGGGTTAGAGATGGAGATTGACCCCATACTGGAGGCCACATAGTTTTGAAACACATCTGATGTGTGATCCCCAACCTCCATCCATGTAGCTTTTTATCTGGTGATCAGGATGAGCCGTATGGATTTTTTACTTTCTTTTTCATGGTGAGTGGTGGTGAGGTACTTCAGATTTCTTATTTTCTTTTAAATGACAGGCATTTGAAATTATGTCTGAGGGAAATTCTATCTTAGGAGAGAGGGAAAACCACTTGAAGAGGATCTGGTATTTAATTGCAGCTTTCTTTCTGTTTGAAATACTGATGCATAGCCAATGTCATGATAGTGCTATGTATTTACATGCTGTTATTTTTTTTTTAATTGCCCTTTATTTTTCTGTTGGAGGTTTATTAAATCAAAGGGAATTCAAATCTAGAATCTAGGTTGTGAACCAGCTTTCTGACTGGTTCAACTCACCATCCCTGTGGCTACATCTTCATATCATCAAAGAGAGAATATAGACCACATTTCCTGGTGGCCATGCTTCTTGCCTTTAGACCTGATAGTTCTTAGCTGTGGCAGACTTTATGGTATTGTTAAACGGTTTTGAACCCCTGCTGCTAATAGCATTTCCCATTTTTGTCATATTCTAAGCAGCCCTGAATTTGTTTCTAGAGCGAGGCAGCATCCCACTGAGAACCACGAACTTCAGTTCCAAGATTCCTCTCGTCACTCATTTTCTGTGGGAGAACTCTTATTTTAGGGATGGTGGAAAGAGGAAAAGGTGGCGACCAACTGAAAAAAACCTCTGTTCTTTCCTCAATGTTAAGCAGTTTTATTTTAAAATGAATGTCTTTGGGGTTACACAACCATACTCACAGACAGGTGTACTATTTGTGGTATTCTACGATAGGTAGATTTTTTTTTCTAGCTCAGTTTAAGTTTTTCTTTTGAAGCACACATGGCTAAATGGTTATTTTAAAAAGAGAAAGCTAAATACCCACAGTAAGTAAAAGTAGCAGAATCTGACTTTTCCTAGAGTTACACTGTTGCTTTACCAAATTAACCTGTAAAAAAGAAGCATTGCATGTACTAATAGTTTCCTGCTGTTCACAGGCATAAAAGCGGGGGAGCCTGTGTCAAGACATTTGTAATTGTTGCACATACACAGCTGCATATGTAAAAGCAACTGCACACCAGTGGTATGTGTGGTTCTTAAAAGACAGGTACTGTGAAGTGAAAGATAGGAAAATAAAATGATGGTATCTTTAGTGTGGTAATTATTACTTAAGGCCGAGTTTAATAGGTCAGTAAATTAGTGTCTAGTTGAGCACTGCAGCCTTCTTGTCACACTGGGTGTGCCTGTTTCAGCTGTGCAGTCTGTCACTGGCCCAGAAGCTCCTAGGTACTAGTAAGCTGGGTGCGGTCCAGCCTTACGTTGCCCATCAGGTCCTCCAGAAGATCTAGGGAGTGTATAGTTCTGCTAATATAATGTGGATCTCACAATAAGCACTTCTAATAGCTAAATAAAGTTACAGGACCACATGGGTTTAACCCAAGGCATGTATTTAAAATATGATTTTGAAATCTTTATATAAAAGGCCCTATTAACTAAACTCTCCTAATCAATTGAGTTCTTTGCTGTTTCTAAAGAGTGTTCATTTTTTGTTTCTTGCTGCTGCCTAGCCACGTTTATGTAGTGTTATAAATTCCTTTTTGGTGCATGGCTTTTTGCTGTCTAATAAAACTAGCTAAATTATTTTGCCTGCAGCATGGTTTGAATTTTGTACTCTTTAATACAACGTTGAATTTCATCATACACATCGTATTTTTTGTTCCCATTAAGAGCTAAACAGATATTCATAATGCCTGGAATCTTAGCTCTCTGGGTGTTGTTTAAAGCCCCAGTTTTGTACTTGTTCTCCCTCATGAGATCCTTAGTGGACTCATTTGTGCTGCTCGCTCTCCTCCCTGGGGCAGATGCTGGTTGGGTCTGGAGGAGGCCAGCGTTCAGAAGGCAGGCGCCGACTCTAGAAGCTATCTGCCCTCGCAGAGGGAAGCTGTTTTGCTACTTAAACTAACTAAGAATGATGTAAAAAATATTTTTCTTGATTTTTTTTCCATGCTTACGGCAATAGTCTGAAATACAGCACTATATTTAGAGTTATCTTGTGGTGTGAGCACAATAGCAAATGGAGTTGGACTCAGACACTTGGTGTTTCCAAACTGTCGTTTCAAGCTTAGAGTTATAGGATATAAAGTGTGGTTAATTTATTGAGTGTTCAGCATTAAAAAAACAAATCATAGTTTCTGTTTAATAATATATTAAAGGTTATTGTATGCCGTGGTACTACATTTCTGCTTTCCAGAGCCACTTGCTGTAAACACATTTTATAACTCAATGGTGGAAACTAAAACATGGAAATTGTAGCTTTCTCACTCATATTTCTCTTACTACAGTCTTTTGATTCGAAAATATGTCTTCAGAACAATTAGAAAAGAAATATACCAACAAGTATAGCTTATTCTAAAAATTCCATAAAATTTTATTAATATTGATAAAATTATCCTTAAAGGAAAATATGATAAAGAAGAGATATAGGTTAAATCTTACAGTAAATTCAGGTTTATTGTTATTCTTGTCTAGAGTCTTATCATTTAAAGGAAATTGACAGATGGAGCTTAAAAATTTTTTTTAAACAGATTTATTTACTTATTATGTACACAGTGTTCTGCTTGCTTGTATGCCTACAGCCAGAAGAAAGCACCAGATCTCATTTCAGGTGGTTGTGAGCCACCATGTGGGTGCTGGGAATTGAGCTCAGGTCCTCTGGAAGAGCAGCCAGTGCTTTTAACTGCTGAGCCATATCTCCAGCTCTGGAGCTTGAACGTTTTAAAATTTCTTTCTTACTGACATTTTATCTAAATCTCAAAACAATAAAATAATTTTCATCAAGTTTGACCTAAAATGCAAACTGGGTTCAGTGTGCACCTGTAGCTGCGGCCCTTAAGTGTCTGACGCTGGAGGACCACCGGTTTCAGTGAGCCTTGTCAGGGAAGTGAGACCTCCTTCCCAAGAAACGGTGGGAAAGCAGCATGGTGGGGTTCAGCGGGCATACTTTTCCTGGAGACATTTTATAGCTTTAGAGCCGTCTTTAAATTTATGTCTTGCTTTTATTTTGGATTCAATAACACCACAAGGAAGCATCACTTAAAATGACTTTTCTGAAGAACGCTGAAGATTTAGGTATAAATCCTAAGTTAAAAACACCAATAACTAGTTAAAGTATCCAATAAGGAATTGATCTGCTGTACATTTGTCTAAGTTAGCAGACTGAAAATCCCAGATTAAAAAATTAATGAATTTTGCCTGGCGGTGGTGGTGCAGGCCTTTAATCCCAGCACTTGGGAGGCAGAGGCAGGTGGATCTCTGTGAGTTCGAGACCAGCATGGTCTACAAGAGCTAGTTCCAGGACAGGCTCCAAAACCACAGTGAAACCCTGTCTCAAAAAAGCGAAAAAAAAAAAAATTAATGAATTTTGTTGTAAAAATCATTTTGACAAAGGAAGATTAGCTATAAACAAATGCTATTTTCTCTTCTCTGGATAACTATATATTTACTGTGTTTGCTTTTGTGTAGTTTATTTTACTAATAACTTTGCTGTGAATACATATTCATATGACTTACTAGTTTCTGAAAGCAGTAGTAGAGCATATAGTCTTTTGCCATGGAAATAAATTGTTTTGGGAATTTGCCTGTCAGAAAATTGTTTCTTCAAGTAGGGGAAGGGCTTGATGGTTTCATAAATAAAATTGATTTTTCTTCACTAGGGAAAAATGTGATCTCATAAAAGACACAGCAAAGATAATTGAGTAACCTGGGCTTTACTCAACCGCTCTTCTTTTGTTGGTCTCGAGCCCCTTTCTTGGTGATCATGACACTTTATAGATTCAGCAATTAGTAATGATTTCAAGTGCAAAAGTGATATTAGAAATATGAGTGTCATCTTAAATACTAGAAGTCACACGTATAATTCTGTAAAACATGTGTCATTATATAAAGCCAAGGAAAACTGCCTTACCAATAAGGGAAAATATTCTACATATGTTGAGTGACCACATGTCCAAGACACTAATGTTGGCATAGTATGATCGGTCTGACCCCAGACTCCTGTATGTGTGTGGTGTGTGTGGTATATGTGTGCATGTGTGTTGTACGAGACCGCTTGCTTGTTCATGGCTGCCCAGACTCGAGATAACCACACAGAAACTGTATTAATTAAATAACTGCTTGGTCCATTAGCTCTAGCTTCTTATTGGCTAGCTCTTACATCTTAATTTAACTTATTTCTATTAATCTGTGTATTATATGTTGCTGTGATTTACTGGCAAGGTTCTGGCATGTCTCTTCCCAGCGGGGCTCCATGGTGTCTCTGACTTCACCTCCTTTCTTCCAGTATTCAGTTTAGTGTTCTCTACCTACCTCTATTCTGCTCTGCTCAGGCCCAAGACAGATTCTTTATTAACCAATGGTATTCACAGCATACAGAGGGGAATCCCACATCATATATATGTGTGTATGTGTCTGTATCTGTGGTGTGCGTATGGTGTGTATATGTTGTGTGGTGTGGATATGTATGTGTGTGTATGTGGATATGTATGTGTGTGGTATGGATGTGCATGTGTGTGTACATGAATGTCTGTTTATGTGGTGTGGTATGGTGTGTGTTTGTATGTGTGTAGTGTGAGTATCCTAGGATTGAAGCAAATGTGAACTCTAAAGTGGAAATATTTGCTTTACTCTGGTTAGGTTATAGGGTTTCTACAGCAGTGCAGGCTCAGATGGAGGATTACCGTCCTTGTTACGGAAGGTGCTGGGCACAAAGGTGCATCTTTCCAGGTGTATCTTCCGGTTAGGACCCACGCCCTACTTTCCAGCACCTCCCAACAATGCCGCAGTTTCACGACTCTGTAAAGGATGAATCTGTTGATGAAGCCAGAGCCCCAGTGACCCAGTCACTTCCCAGAGTCCCTCCTCTGAATTTGCTGCACTCAAACTAAGCTTTCAACCTAGGAGCCCTCTGGGAAACAAACCTATAAGGTTCTCCTCTGTGCTACCAACTCATTCTACTTGGCTGGGGGAGGAAAGAGAAGGCAAAGTGTTGACCTTTCCTATTTTCACAGATGCTGAGATGTTCTGATTGAGGAACCAGCTTATTTGCATTTTGTAATAATTTTAAATTGATTTAAATTATTATCCTAGATTTACCTAAATTCTTCTAAATGTAACGAGACATGATACTTTTGTTAATACTCGGAAAAACTTTCTCATGTATTACATATTGCCTCTTGGCTTTTTGACTAAAGATCAAGTGCCTGCCATACATTATAAATAATATATTATGACTTGTTATATTAAATAGTAACTATACCTTTTTGGTTGTTTTAGTGTATAGACTACTTATTCTAGTAGTATAGCTTTAAAAAATTCAAATTTCAGTGTATTGTTAAATGGACATTGTACAAGCCAGTAAAACCAGTGTTGTAATGGCATTTTTAAGATGTAATTTCCAAGTGGCCGTGGTAGCACAGGGCTGGTATTTCAGCACTTGGAATATGGAGGCAGGAAGACTGGGGATTAGAGGCCAACTAGGATTGTATAATAAGAGCCTGTCTCTAAATAAATAAACAACTAATATAAATATATCAGAGTGTCTTTTTTTCTGCTGTCAGTATTGGTTTGTATATATTTAAGTCATCCAGAGTTTCCATTTAAAGACAAGTATTATTTCTGGAATGTGATTCTATTGTAATGATGCAAACGGGTTCCCTGCATGTGATGCCATGACCTAAATAAAAGAGAGCCCCCCGCGTGTGACACCTGCGTGTGGCCCCTGCGCGTGACTCACACTGTGTGGCCCCTGTGTGTGACCCATGGCATGTGGCCCCTGCGCGTGACCCACAGCGTGTGACCCGCAGTGTGTGTCTGAAGCTGCTTAGCACCTACTCCTGTAGTTCACTCCAAACCAATATTCTTTAAAGTGGATATTTTGATCTACTAACCCAAATATATCTTTGGTTTTTGTAAGTCTGTTGCTGTACAATAGTAACTAACTCTTGCTCCATACCTTTTCTTCTCCTTTAGAGAAATTGGAAGCTCAACCACCCACTCCAGGACAGCTGAGATATGGTAATGGCTCTATAATTGTTAAATTGACACGCATCTCTGTTTTGAACCTGAAGGAACTGTTTCTTAGAATGGCACAAAGTCAGTAAATTAAACCTCTCTGATAGATTGGATTGTCCTGTTTTTTTTTTTTTTTCATATAGGAGTACTTTCTAAACCTGGTTGAAGATATATCATAATATTATGGGAGAATTAATATTTTTAAATGTTCTTGTCATCTAGTAATAAGAGGAAATTTGCTAGAACTTTTCTTAATTTGCAGGAAAATGTGTATTATGTTTACTTCCTAGGCCAAATTTAAATTAGATAACTACAGAACTTAATTTTAGATTCAGGCTAACTGTTCTCTTATGCAGAAAGTGTTTCTGGGTAGTGTTTGTAGCTGTAAGAAAGTGAGTTCGTTTGAGGAGGAAGAAACCTCACTGTGGAGCTCTACCATCTCTCTTTCCTGTTATGGTAAGAATGAGTATTGCAGGTTAACATGGGAGTGATGTAAAACAATTTAGGGTCTTATTAGAAGACAGTGGAAGAATCATTTAAAGTGTGGTGGTGAATTTGAGTAGGCGGTAATTAAGTAGGCAATTAAATATTAAATGTGATTTGCTAGCAGCTGCTTAGCTATAGAATAGTGTGTGCCAAAGGGAATTGAAGAAATAGCAAATTAGTAGGAGAGCATTCTTCACTGGAAGGCAAATTCAAATGACTAGGAAAAAACTAATGATCGTTCCTTTTTTTTTTCTCTCATAGGTAGAATGTAATTTTTTTTTTTTTGATTTTTCGAGACAGGGTTTCTCCGTAGCTTTTGGTTCCTGTCCTGGAACTAGCTCTTGTAGACCAGGCTGGCCTCGAACTCCCAGAGATCCGCCTGCCTCTGCCTCCCGAGTGCTGGGATTAAAGGCGTGCGCCACCACCGCCCGGCGGTAGAATGTAATTTATGTTAGAAATTAGTATCTTTTCCTCAAACACCAAAACAATTTAAGAATTTTTTAAGATCTCCCTTCCCCCTCCCAGCCCAGATTCCTAACCCGGTACTGGTAACTGCATACAGTACTATTATCATATTTTTGTAGGTGATGTTGAAATTAATTGTGTATGTGGTTAGGTTTCTATGTCTAAAGCCACTGAGATGTGGAAACCAAGTTTCATGGCTTTGTCTCTCGAGTTCCCAGCAGGGTGCCCAGGGCATAATTTTTTTTTGGGAAATTTTATTTTCCTCCTTTAAATTAAAAGTAGTTTTTTATTTATATGGCAAATGGATTAATATATTACACATAAAGACCTATTCCATAGTTCATTAGTTGATTAGTATGGCAGTATGCCTTAGCTTCACTGACCAGTTTCTACCAGGATAAGCTCTTAGTGCAATCTTAATGTCATTTGCACCTTATTTTAAGGCATTTGTAACTGGCTAATTTTAGAGATGTCATCATATTGTTCAAATACTAAGTAATCTCAGCTGATTTCTTGGTTGTTTGCCATATATGTGTTTCAGAAACCACGGAGAAGGCTGTGTCTAGGAATACCCAGACAGGTTTCCCTTCACTGTGTGGGCTTCTTTGGGTGACTTCAAAATTTCCAGCGTACTTTTTTGCCCATTAAGTTTATGTTGTAGCTGGAAGGCAGGGTTGTGTGTGTGGTTTGGAAGCTGCTTACTGTAACAAGTTGAATGTCAGTAGGCACCTAACGGACATAGGTGGAAAGTCAGAGGAAGAAGGCTGAGGTCTGTCTGGAGTTGAGTCCCATCTCATGAGTATGATGTTTGGCTTTTACCATCTTGATAATTTTCATAGTAGCAATCACAATGGATATTCCGCTCTTCGTCGTGAGCATTGTTACTGCAACAGGCAGAGACCTGAAATAACTGGTTATATCTGTTGCATGCTGTGTACAGTATCAATATATGTAATAATCTACACACGATGGTGCCTATTATTATGCTGAAGATGGTATTTCTTTGATAGAAGTTGTGGATTGAAGTGTTAATTTTTTTGAATTACTGCCTACTAGTTTTCCCTGATGGTACAGAAGTCATACCATAGAATATCATATTTTCATAACTTCTGGATTATATTTCAGTTACAGTGTATATTTAATTACATTAAAAGAAAAAGAATCTGAAGTCACTAACAAATATAACTAACTGTCTTAAGGGAGGACTGTTTTTAAATATAGTATAAAAATCATTTTTTTTCTCAGTTTCCTTGATTCCTCAGTTTGTTGAGGAAGTTGTCAGTTGAGCTGATGTTGGCTATGCCTTAGAAGTTGTAATGATCAAATAAAATAGTTTTTTCCTGTTCCCAGCCTTAATCTGTTTCACAGTATGCCTCCGCTAGTCTAAATATAGAATTAGCTTCTTTTCCAGGTTAGTATCCTCAACTTAATTCCTTTTGAGCATCTGCTCTGTACTCAGCATTGTACAGTATGCTGAGGATACAAATTAGAAAAATGAAGCTAGATTATAAAAAGCAAACCCACAGTTTTCCTGCTTTGACTTTTAATAACCCAGGTTTCAGGTTGTGTGCCAGATGAGGTGAGAGGTGTCTTTGGTCAGATTTCTGGAATCCTGGTGGGTTCCGAGATGCTAAGGACTACCTGTCCACAGGTGTCAGGTGAAGGGAGTCGCCATTTCCTAAAATTGCTTTAAAACGTTGACTTGGAGCCGGGTGGTGGCGGCACACGTCTTTAATCCCAGCACTCGGGAGGCAGAGGCAGGCGGATCTCTGTGAGTTTGAGACCAGCCTGACTTACAGAGCGAGTTCCAGAACAGACTCCAAAGCTACACAGAGAAACCCTGTCTCGAAAAACAAACAAACAAACAAGCAAACATGTTGACTAGGAAGTAAAAGCAATCAAATAACTTTCCTGGAATTTGAGTATAGACATTTTAAAAATTATTATAGATGCAGAGATTAGGACTGTTGTGATAGACACAGATAGAAGTAGGCTGATGTGAGTCAGGCTAAGTGGGACCATCATGTGCTAAGAATTTTCTGCCCATGAACTGTACGTATATACATTGCTGGTAAGAAAACATAAAGGCCTGAATTGTTCTTCTGTGTTACATGTTTGTGTTTTGTCTCCCAGTTTAGCTTCTGTAAGTAAAGTTACAGCAGCAGCAGGATCTGTGATTGTTATTAAATCTGCCTAGAAGCTTTAATTACACAGCCTGTTTTGGTCATTCTAAAAGTTATCAAAATTTTAAAATATATTTTTCTGTGTTTTGATGTTTTTCAGTATTCTTCCACAATGCGATACCTTTCATAGGGTTTGGCTTTTTGGATAATGCAATTATGATTGTTGCAGTAAGTCTTCTCACCACTTCTGTTTTGAGTTAATAAAGAAATTAGTGTGTTTTACATATTCCTAATAATTTATATATTATACCAATTAAGTTAATTAACAGTGTATACCAATTAAGTTAATTAACAGTGAACAAGTTCAATTTTTAAAGTATCATATATTAATCATAGAACTTTTAGCAAAGCATGTAGACAATTACTTATGTTGTATATAATTCTGTTCTAACATTTTTTATTAAGGAGCAAATGTATGTAAAAATCTCTGGTTTCTTTAGTTATACTGGTATTTGTTATCACATATAGTTTTGATTAGTTCCTTGTTCAATTTTCTCATTCTAGAATATGTTGGTAGGTGTTTTGGGGCATAGACAAGGCTTTGGTCTCAACATTTAACCCAACGATGACTTAAGATTCATTTAACAACATCCTCTGCCTTTGCTGTATTATGTAGTATTCTAAAGAGTTTGCCTCTGAAGGGTTTTTGATCCTACTGCACGTACTGGCTTTGGGGGAGCCTAGGCAGTTTGGATGCTCACCTTACTAGGCCTGGATGGAGGTGGGTGGTCCTTGGACTTCCCACAGGTCAGGGAACCCTGATTGCTTTTCGAGCTGATGAGGGAGGGGTACTTGATCGGGGGAGGGGGATGGAAATGGGAGGTGGTGGCGGGGAGGAGGCAGAAATCTTTAATAAATAAATAAATTAAAAAAATAAAAATAAATAAATAAATAAAAGAGTTTGCCTATGCTGTGACCATTGCAATCTCAGGAATACCTGGTTTGCCTTTCTTATATTAATGACATCTCTTTTAGTGGACACCAATATTTGGTACCCTTCCCCAACAAATTAGTGATTAAAACACAACTATTTTAAGACTTTCCCAGAGTTTATTTACTGTTTTATATAAAGAATGATTTTCTCATAGTTCAGTCAAGGTAATTACTAACTTTTAAACATGCCTTTAGAATGCTTTATGCAGTCATCTTTCTTGGATATCAGCAGTAAATAGACTGAGGTTACCTAAATCCTTGAAAGAGGAAAAAGTATAATTATTTATTTTTTTCTGGGTACCAGTTAGGGTGTATGTATGTATGTATGTATATATGTATATATTTATTTATTTATATATATATATATATATATTTAGATTCATTTGAAAGAGAAAATGCTTCTCTGAATTAGAATCTACCTCACTTTAAAATTTTTCTATTAACTATTGTTAAAGAAACTACTCAGAGAGGTGGAGGGGGAGAGGTAGGGGATGGTGGGAAGGGGGGGAGATGGAAGCGTTTACTTTGGGGGTTTTAGAATTTATCTGTACTATGAATGAATGTAAGTAGATTTAGGTATAAAATAGAGATTTTAAAAAGTAATTTACATAGTCATTTGATAGACGGCAGGTGTTTTTTAGAGTCTCTAAAGTCAGTTCATTTGAGTTGGCTTGGTTGCTGCAGGGCCTGTCTAGCCTTACATCCAGATGAAGAGGGTCCAGCTGCTCCCTGATTTAAGAGGGGTTCAGGGGCCACTGTCAGCAGTGTGACTCTGGCCTGTGTACAGCTTGGGGTCACAAGCACCTCTGTAGGTTTTTTTGTTCGCATGCTGTGACAAGTCCAGACTTCTCAAGGATGATGCACATTAAGTGAGTGTCCCTAAAATGTAATTCTAGAATAATCAATTTTTTAGGATTATGATGCTTTCCTAGTATACATATAAGAATAAAAGTGATCTGAGTATATAAAAAAAAGTCCGAAGAGTATTTAAGTAATTAAAACTCAACTAACACTGAGTTGGCTAAATTACTGTTATTAATGAAAGCATACCTACTTGTAATAAAAGCTCCTTTATGCTGTTTCTAAACCTTAGTTGACTGTGTGCCCTGCACAGGCTGTCTGATGGAAGGCACTGCTGCGCTAAATATTTTACGCTCCCATTAATTCGCTCAACCTTTTAGTGCTCGAGCCGCCATTTTAGCAAACTTCCTTAATAAGACACAGCTTAAAGACACAGGTGCTGAAAACTGCCCTTGCTGTTGGCAGTTGTGGAGTGGTTCACTTTGGGTACAGTCAAGAGAGGGAGGCGTATGGACGCTAATAGCTTCCGAGACCGATCGTGCTATAAAATGCCACAGAGTGGATGTCTGTGTGCAGACGGAGCATCGATGGGACTGGACCAAACCCAGCAGAGCACGTCAGAGACTCCAGACACCTCCGCTTTGTCATGTTGTGTCCTGCAGGCCTGTGCCTCATCCTTAGTACTCAGAGTGTTCTTCCAGACCTGAGATCTTAGCTCCAAATTATCAATAACCTGTGTACACTGAAATCCATCTTCAGGATGCACTCCCTTGGATAAAGTTTTTACAGAATAGATATTTTAAATCACTGACCTCAACACCAGATGAAGAGTGATGGTTCTGACTGTTCCTGTAGTTGAAGGCTATTTCAGAGAGATGACCTTTTCCAATTTTTATTTGACCCCAGACATTAGAATAGATAAATAATACAATGGCAGAATCTCTGAGAAGGGAACAAGTAGTCTTGACTGCCCTAGCAATGTGTTTTTTCCTGCTTGTCTTCACTCTTTTCCATGTTTTAAAGCACAGATGATCATTTCACATTGTGGAGCCGGTGTGAGCTTTTCAGACAGGGCAAAGTTGAGTCTTCTGCCCTGTTGTGCTATAAACTTACTTCCCCCTTCCTTTTAGATGTACACTCCTGGCTGCTACTTGGTGATCATGAGAACAAGTTTCTATATAATCAGTTATAATAGGGCAAGTAATACTCAGCCTTAGGTTATATAGTTTAATTTTATATTACTAAATTACTTTTTATAATTTATATTTTAGTCATTTGGGGAATTGCTTTTTTTTTTACAATTCACTTAAGATAGAAAGTTTTAGAATAGATTAATCGTAAGTGTAATTAAAGTGATAAATAAAGTGTTAGATTTATTTGTAATTCCCATCTCATCTATTAAAACAATTTTTTTAAATACAGAGGAAAGTAAAGAAGTGTGGGATTGTCTTTGAGTGTATGCTCTTAGAAGAACCTTTAAGCACCCCAAATTTTACCAAGTGATAAAGCCCACAGATACTTCCTTCTCTGTGTGGGCGGTGATGGGGCTCCAGCTCAGAACCTGCGCATGCTAGCGGATACCCTCTATCCAGAGAGCTACATCTTCAGCTCACACAAATAGTTTTTCCGATGCATATTTTAAAAGAGGTTCTTCTTGGGTCATTGACAATGATTCATTGCTGTCACATTACTGTTTACTGTGTGGCCTGTGCACAGCACTGCTGTGGGGTGCTCTGCCGTCTTGGCATTTATGTAAGAAGGACTTACATAACAGAGATCTGTATCTGTGTTAGTTTCTCCTGTTTGGGCTGTCCTTTCACGTCCCTTTCGTCTTCCTCAGAAATCTGTTATTTTAGCTCCTTCAGAGAGTGGTGCATCAGGCTGCTTGGTCATATTCAACAAGAGTTACATCTTCAAGGGGCAGAGCTGAAGGCAGAGGGACAGGAGAATTGAGGAAAGTGTCTTACAGACCGAGCAGTGGGACATTTATGTAGCACGTTAGATACTCTTGTTTTCCTTAGTGTTAAGAGTTGGATTTCTTTTTTTTTTTTTTTTTAATTTTCAATGCTAGTCTTCTAGGGAGCTCTTGAAAACTAAGTTTACCTTCGTGAAGGATTGGAGCTGAATTAGCAAAGTAGACTTAGGGCCTCCTCCTCTGTGTGACAGACAGCCCAGGGGAGTCCCTGCATCCTGACACCTCAGCTCCACATCCGTAGAGTGGGCCGGAAACGTGAGCTCCTTTCTTTCCCCAAGGGGAAGGATAAATGTGGGACCCTTTGGCTCCCTGTAATAAATCAATCCAGTGGGATGCTGTGGGCCTCATTCTTCCTGCAGGTGTCGGACTAAGTGTTGTTCAACTTGAACACGGGAATCCTAGTGGGACTGCCCAATAGTTAGGGAACTAAAGGCTGTGAGGAAAATCTTACTAATGGCAGTTTTCCTAAAAGATCATTCAGTCTTTCAAATCTTGATAGAGTAAATAACAGCACAATATATTTCAGAATTTAGCATCTATGTGTCAGTCTTTTTGTTTAAGTAGTCTTAAAGCATATTTCTCTGTGATAGTAAAGTAGAATTAAGAATGTAGAAATTAGATTCTTAGTGAAGAATTGATTATTGCATGTGTTGCTATTCATTTTGAGGGAGGATCAGTTTTACTGGATGAAATGTTAGTGGTTATTTCTTCATGAATTACCATCACTTCATATATTGTGCACATTTATGGATATTTTGTGTGTAATTATGTTACAACAACATGTGGATGTTACTACATAGTCTGTTTTTATTAGCACATTGATATTCTTTGATAGCCATGCCAGCTTTAACTTCTTTTCCAATTACTTTTCAGGGAACCCAGATCGAATTGTCTATTGGAATTATTTTGGGAATTTCAACAATGGCAGGTATATAATAATAACAAATGTTAAAATTCTGTCGTCTGCGTGTTGTTTAGAAACGTCAGTAAGTTAGGTTTAGAAGACAATTCATTTGAAATGCGTTTGCTCCTTGGGGTGTTGATTTGTTTAGATATCTCTAATCCTAATCTTCTGGTCCCAGTTTTCTGTAGATAGCAGGTGTCTCCTGGCAATTGTAACTAGTTTGTGTTAGGTAGTGGCTAACACTGCTCCGCTGAATTGTCTGTGTGAAGGCAAGTTTTTCTCAGAATTCAATCTTACCATTGAACATGAAGTGTTTTCCTTCCTTTACTTTCTTGTATTTGGAGTTGCTTATGCAGCTATGCTCCTGAGATTCCAATATCTAAATTGCCCGAAACAAATACCACACTAAAGACACAACTATGAAATTTTAAAAATAGTAAAAATAGAAGATTTCTCCTGTACTCCGCAGACACTCTATTAGTGGAGGTAGGATATTCTAATTTTAGGATCGTGCTCTCTTTTAATTTCTTGGCACCTAGAGCTATCCCTGAGCTGCTTCTAACAGAGTTGTTACAGCAGAGAAATACGGTGACTCTGGCAGCCAGAGCTCAGTGTTTCTCACGTGATGTAATACTGTGACCTCTGCCGGCTTTGTTTTGACGATTCATTGTGTGTTTTTTCAAATTTCCAGCTGCTGCTTTGGGAAATCTTGTTTCAGATTTAGCTGGACTTGGGTAAGTCCATTCATAATTTGTTTCTGCTGCTACGTACTTACCTGTTCTTGTCTTTATTCTCCTCTAATTAATAAGCCCTTTAAAAGGATAATTATTTTCCTTTGGGTTCTAAAACTAAACATTTAAGTTTAATATTTCTAAAATAGCAATACTAAATATGTGGTGGAGATCAAATATAGTTGTTGACAATGAGTCAAACTGGATTAGTGGTTCTGAGAATGGATAGAACCATGTCAAAAATATAAGCAGGATGGAACAGAGAATTAAAAGTAAACCTCTCATCCTCCCACTTCCTTATAATTGTAAAATCTCAAAGATAAACAAATTAGAGGATACTGACCCAAAAAGGAAATAATGTCAACACTTCCCCTCTCTCCCTTTCTTCTCCCTCCCTCCCTCTCTCCCACTGATGTTAAGGGGTTGATCATAGGGTTTTATTCATGCTAAGGATGTGCCCTACCAACAAGCCATACCTCAGTCTCCAAAGCTTATGTTTACCTGGCCATTTTTCCCTTTCATCTGGCAGGAATGATAACACAGTGGAGGATGGCTGCTCCGAAGAGCCCTATTTCTCACTTTCTTCCAGGTGGCAGATGGCCTGGGCTGCTTCCTGGGCTTGGGAAAGCTGAGAAGTTGGCATTAAATATTAGCACAAACATCTCTCTCTTGCTCTGTCGTTGACATTGTTTTCCTTTCTTGGCTACTCACGTGGTATATTTTGAGATTTGAGTTTGGATCTAGTAGGATTCTATTTTGGCTCACAGTAGGCAGTGGCAATTTTATAGGTGATCTGTCCCTCAATATTAGGCATCTATACTTGAGTTTGGGGCCAAAGCTAATTTTAAGTTTTTTTTTTTCATTAGGGCCATGATTGGGATTTTATATTTTAAGAATTTTTGACATAAATCTTATCTTGATGCAGTGTCCTTGATATTCCATTTTCAAACTTCAAGCTTAATATTGACAATATTGCCGCTTCTGTATAGCTTTCTGTTGTATTAGAACCAACTAATAGATTTTAAAGCCACTTAGCTTTTGGTCGGGTGTGAACATTTTTATAAGCGCTTTTCCGTTTGAGAACTGGTTCCTCTCTTCTATTTTCAGTGTCTCTCACGAATATCACATTTTATGTGTTCTTTGATGCATACTTTCAAAACACTTGATATCTGAAGCTGGAATGTATCTTCTGGTTGTCAGTGTATGTAACTGGCAAGCTGTTTTCTTCTGACAGTACTTAGAACAAAATTATACCCAACAGTGGTGGTAACTTAGACTCCCCCATTAGGCTAAAAGTTCTAGGCTGTCATTCTTAAGTGCATTATTAGTCTGGTGAATTTTAAAAACTGTTACTTTCTGATCATAGTTACCAGATTAAATCATATGTTCAAGTAATTTGCTTAGAGTTTGAAGTAAGTGCAGCAATTTTAATTATTTATAAAAAATTATATGCCTTTGATTGGCCTCTTAAAGATAATGATAGGGAATAAATGCTCTGAGTCACTGTGTATTAAATGTGAATTTGAAAGTATCTTAAAACTGGGTTATCTATATAGAATAAAAATAGAAGCTGTAAAATTTTTCTGCTTTGTCTGGAGTGATAAGCACGGGCGAAACTCCCGCTTCTCTTTGTAGAGATCGGTTTTTACTGTATGTTTGCATGTCTCTTAAAACTTCCTCATTCTTTTGTTCTCTTGAAGCCTTGCAGGTTATGTTGAAGCCTTGGCTTCCAGGTTAGGCCTATCAATTCCTGATCTCACACCAAAGCAAGTTGACATGTGGCAGACGCGTGTTAGCACACATCTGGTAAGTGATGTGGCTCATGGGCCTGGATCCAGTGGTTAGCGTGGCAGTTCTAGACTATAACTGATTTGAATGGAGTTGCTAAGAAAAGTTAGCCAGGCCTGGGACATTCTCAGAAAAATAGTGTGATATCCCTTTATTTTCATGTATTCCGGCTTGATTAATTAAGGACTTGAACACCCAAAGATTTTATTCTTCATTGATTATTCAATGATGGAGCTGATCCCCATTGTACTGAAGTCGTTCATTGGTGTTCATTCCTGAGCCTTTCTGTGGCCCGGTAAGGGAGGAAAGATCAAATAGCAGTGGATTGAAATATTAATGGAGGCAAGCATCACCCTGCTCCAGCATTTCTAAAGGGAGCAAGAGGGGACCCTTGGTCACCCTGGGTGATAGTGAAAGTCATTTTAACAGAATTGGCGGGCAGTTGGGGGTCTCTTAGCAGAGGTCACAACCTAGGGCAATCGGGAGCCAAAATGAATCGTCTCTGTTGAAATATAAATGATCAAAATATGAGATCAAAATAAGAATTGAGGACTGACTTTATTAGTATCTGGACAGAGCAAATTTCTTGTTATATTTCTGAAACTGTAGTACCTTTTAAAATAGTTACATAATGAGATTGGCAGATTTAACAATTAATATAAGACATGGATGTACCACCACCACTACAGCAAACAACCAGCTGCCGTAGTAACAGATTGAAAGGGTGTTGTATACGCTGTTGTCAGAACATTGATGTCTTCCGTGAAAGTTGTTACCAGTACCCCATGACGCTATCCAGAACATTTCCCTCTGCATTTCCTGCTGCAGATCATGTAGTTTGCACAGCTTCTGTAGTGCCAGATGGGACTTGTTTTGTCTCTCTGTCTTCATACGTGGAGCTCCAGGAGGAGAGACCAACTCTGTGTGATTGGTCCCTGTCTCGGGATTACCCAGCACCGAGAGTTTAGTACACAACAGAATCTCAATGAATGATCGTATGAAAGAAGAAAACTTAATTGAAGAGCCAGAGAGATGGCTCAGATGTTAGGAGTGCATACTCCTCTTAAGGATCCAAGCGCTCCGGGCTCACAGCTGCCTGTAACTCCAGTTCCAGGGTATCCATTGTCTTCTTAAAGAAATATAATGCACACAAATAATTTTTTTTAAAAGAAAACTTACAGCTAGGGCTACACAGAGAAACCCTGTCTTGAAAATAAACAGATTTTTTTATTTAAAAAGAAAACTTAATTTTAAAGCATCTAAATTTTATAGTCATCATAGAAATGCAAAGTTTAGACTCATTTATAGAAGTGAGAATTTTAAACTTTCACAATGTAGGTTTCCAGTGAGACAGAGTGCAACATTGTTTCTATAATGGTTGTATCTTCATATAGCTAAGCATTCAGGGGATTAAGTACTGAAGGACTATATACAAGGATATCAAATCCAAATACACTGGGAATAGTCGGTATGTTCCCCCTCCTGTGTTCTGGTCTTCTGGCATTAAAATACACAAACTATTAAAATAATGTTTTCTACTTGGATATTTCTTTAATGTCATGTTCATGATAAGTTTTTCCCTTATTCCTGTGAACTTTAAAATGGCATGTTGAGAGTTTGGTAGTTTAGTACTTAGGTTTCTATAATCGACAGGAATACAGTGGTGGTGGCAGTTTCCGTGTGTGGCAATTGACTGTTGTCGTCAGTGTTTATGCAAGGGGACCTCTTTTGTGGACACGTAACTTTAAGAAATACTCTCTTCTGTTTCCTTAGGGCAAGGCTGTTGGGGTGACTATTGGCTGCATTCTAGGAATGTTCCCTTTGTTTTTCTTTGGAGGAGGCGAAGAAGATGAAAAACTGGAAACGACAAACTAATCATCTTAGAATCCCTATAAAAAGATGTAAACTAATGTACCTCAGTCATTAACAAATACTGTCACGGCATTTAGTGATGAGGACAGTGACAGTGCATAGATACGGGATCAAGTACTTCAGCATGTATTGTGGAAACACTAACTTATTGTGGCTTGGTCTTCTTAAGATATCTTTTTAAAAACCATTTAGTATATCATTTTATGTAAATTGTTGAGATGCTTTTCATCAATGGCAGTCAACATGTTATCTTTTCCTTCTCTCCATGTATCAACATATTATTTAACTTTTAGTCATTGATACTGTACTGTACTGACTTGGGATTTGCTTATTTGTTATGTAACATGTACATGCATGGAAATACCTATTTATGTTTTTTTTCCTTGGTGATTATCATTCAAAGCTAGGGTTTCTCCAAATTATGTAAGATGTTTAACATCAGTTAAATTTTGACTCCCTGCCTGGAGGCATCACTTCTGTGCTGTTTCACAGTAAACGTTAACAATCATATACTTTTACTCATTTCTGAAGCTTTCGCATCTGTTCAAAGTGAATACAGACTTTAGGTGTTTTAAGTATATCTGGTTCTTTTTAATTTTGAACCACATTGTCTTAAGGGCCAGAGGCCAATCGGAAAGACTGACTCTCTGGCCTTCCTTTTACACACACCATACATGCTAACAAGTGTTCTTATTTTTAGTCGACTTTTTACCTTTGATTTCCCAGCCTTGAATAATCGCTCAGCGAGTTTTGGGTTGCGAGGGAAAGACGGTGCTTCAATGTTTACCCTCTTTAAAATAGGGATTAAGAAATTAGGGTGAGCTGAAGAATTTAAGATGACATTTGAGAACTCTGCTAATTTCCCTTTCTTTTTAAGGGAACTAGGAAACGGAAACTTTAAGGAGGGTTATGGAGGAAGCGGCAGAGTTCAGGTGTTTGGAAGGTCCATGACCAGTTCTGTTTCTTTGGACGGATTTCCCTCCTACAATGTTATTATCTCATCAGAATGGAATGAGTCTAATTATTCCTTGCTCAGAATCCTAATCTCATTAGATCTCGCTTTGTGATTTTTTTCCTCTGGATGAAGTTTTTAGAAATAACATGTGTTTCATATTTTGCTCTATAGCCTAGTCGATCATGTCATGAGGCGAGAGCCTTTCCCCCCAGTTTTGGAGATTTTTCTTCTGTGGTGATTATAGCACATGGCTGGTGAAAACTGCTGAGTCTGTGCTTGTATGTCTGACCTAAATCATGTGGGAATCGTAAGTTTTAATTTTTGAACCCCTGAGGTTTTTTCCCATGTGATCTACACATGCTAAAAGTTACATGTGATAGAATAATTGAACATAGAGAAGAGAGAAACTGAAGTTAGAATTTATTCTTTGGGGAAATTAAAGTTATTCACGTTTGCTAACTAGATGAAAAAGACAAACAGCATGACTATGCCTTTTAAATTTTATTTTGGAGTTTTGTTTGCACATAATTACTGTGAGCTCTTCTTAAAGACTTTTTCCATAAGAAAACATGTCACATACTGTCTCATACACGTCAATACTGTCTCATACACGTCAATACTGTCTCATACACGTCAATACTGTCTCATACACGTCACAACATATTGTCTCTACCACACTTTGGGATGATTTAGTGCTGTCCATTTATCATAGACTTTCAAGGACAAATAGACAGTATAAAAACCATCAAATTCTCATACACCCAAGTACCACTCTCCTTTGATCAGATTGGAATTACACGGCTTGCCATCTCAGACAGGTCTGCCTTTTGTATCTTCTTCACGTATAACACACCGGCACCAGGAAGAGGAGTCTAGGTCAATGGATTATAACGCTTATTTCATTTTCTGTGTGAACTGAGTGCTTGTGTCTCTCCTCTGTGTATTGGTAGCTTTCCTGTTTTTGTTTTTTAGTGTTGTATTGTGGTGCTTAACTTTTCTTCTTATTAAATCCCATTTCCAGAAACCTCTCTTGGAGTTCAGAAAGGGATTTGATTGTTGATTTCCTTTTTCATTCTCTTAAAAATATTCTAGCCCTTACTACCAGAATTTCTGTGAACAGAATTATGCTGGTTTTGTTAAATCTTCAGTTATCTGAGTTGTCAAAGCATGAAAGACGTAACTTTCACATTGAAAGACACTCAGATTTTCAGTAAAAAATTTGGATCATATTTAATCAGTAAAATGTGTTGAATCATTAAAATACTTAGTTTTCAAAAGCAGACAAACAAAATCCAGAGGCGTCGTTTCCTCAAGCTCTCGCTCCGACCTCACACGGTCCTCTGCACAGCTTGGTTTCTGAAGATGGCTGCCTTTAAATCAGTGACTCCGTGAGAGCCTTGCGTAGTGCTTTCACCACAGACAACCGGCATCAGCTGAAACTGGACCGCCCTGTCTCCTAGCGGCTGCTCCGTCAGCACCGCAGCTCCGGCGGACTGTCTCGTGAGCTGTAGGACTGCTGGTTCAGAATCTGTGTTGTTCCTGTATTATAACTTACTTGTCGATGCATGTGAACTGGGTGCATTTTGTTGCCTCTGTATGTTAAATAGTGACCAATGTTTTTACAAAAGAATTGAACAAAAATATCTTTTAAGACATTTGGAATGTGGTTTTGATTTTAAAATTTGGTTTTCTCAATCTCAGAGGGCCTGGCTATTCTATCACTGAAGGAAACAGGATTAATAAATGCAGGTTTGTTATGAGGTGACCGACACATGAAGACACTACTTGGAGCAGTTTTACACACACACACACACACACACACACACACACACCCCACTACATGCACACACATATACACACCTACACAACCTACACACATGTGCGGGCATACACAAACACACACACCCTTAAAGTCCCCATTGACATTGAATCCTGTGGCGTATGAGAGAGGAATGATCCCATAAAACAGCCGTGAGTGGCTGCTAAATCAGAGGGCCAGGTTCTTACAGCCTGAGCCATGCAGACGGCTCAGCTGTGCTCAGGTCACACTATGCCTTTTCTCCAGACAGGACAATGTGAAAGCAGCAGAAAGGTTTTAAATTTTATTTATTAGTTCTTTGCAGATTTCATCCAGTGCATTTTTCCATTTTCACAGTCTCCATGCAAACTCTTTCTAGGCTCTTTTCCTACCCAGCTTTGAGCCCCAGCCCCACCAGGGCCAAGCGGAGCTGCCAAGTATTCTTGGCTGTGTGGCCTCCACTTAGTGTGGGTGACTTATCGGGGCCTGGCTGTAGTCACTCCTAGAGGAAACTGTCCCTTTCCCAGCAGCTAACAAGCACAATGGAAGATCGAGTGGACTTAGAAAGTGGCTTCTCATTCTTGTCATGTGTTATTTGGAAATGATAAGAACGATGATGGTAACAACTCTGTCCCCTCCCCTTTTTATCAGCCTTGTTGCTGTGTGCTGCCGTGTTCACACTGCCGTGTTCACACCACCACCACAGTTAGTACACACCGCTGTTGGTGCAGCCCCCTGCTTTAAACTGAGGAAACAGAGGCGTGGTGAAGGCATACCGCTACTTGCCAGTGGACTTGAGTTAGTTACGTCCATGTATACAGCAAGTGCTCTTAGGTTCTATGCAATAGGGGCGTCATATGCTTGAACCATGAGTTAACTTTTAACAAAGATTTTTTTTTTTAAATCCGTTTCTCATATGTAACCCAGCAATTCTTATTTGAAACCTCAAGGTGTACTTGGTAAATTCTGTGTGTTTGGTTACATACGGTGGGCTAGGGACTGCCCAAAGCACCAATGACTATTGTTTGTTTAGGGGATGGTTTTGTTTTTGTTTTTTCCTTTTGTTTTCTTCACACAAGGTCTCACACTGCTGATATCAAACTTGGGCAGCTCTCCCATCTCTGCTTTTGAGTGTTGGGATTACAGGCCTGTATCACCTCATTGGGCTTGGTGTCTCTGACTTCATGAAGCTTAATCTTCAGGGAGCAAAGGTGGGGAAGAGAACATAAAAATAAGGGCACACTTAGGTTGGTTTTTTTTTTTTTTTATCTTTTGGTTGATAAATGAAACAAAAGCACGGGATCAGAAAATGCCAGTGATCATAAATGGGGTTTCCAGGGACGACTGGAGGAAGTGAGCATGCCCAGTACAGATGTCTGTCTGTGCAGAAAAAAAAAAGTGTTACATTTCCGGAAACTGGTATTACATCTCAGCCACATGAAATAATATTTCATCTTGAGGTGCCCTATGTATGTTTCCCTCTTTGTCTCACTAGGTGAATGTCTGGACAGTTAGCTGTCTGTTGAAATCCGCCTCTGTGGCTACCACATATTCTGTCTCCCCTGTCCCTTCTGTGAAGACATTCACCTGAGACAAGGCTCAAGTTTCTGAGTAGTGGCCTTGTTTATCGGGAACAGCATCATCCCGTACTGTGTGGCTCCTTAGTATCAGATAACCGACACATGAAAAACACCTGGTCCAAAACACCCAGCGTGCACTAACAGATTCCATGCAGGCAGAGAAGGGGTGGGGATACAGTGGTAACTAGTTCTAGCAATGGTTATCACCCAGAAAAAAATCCACTGTGACCGTCCAGCAAAAGCTGGCTAAAGGCTAGGGCTCATCTACTTGAAGAAACTGGCACAGGGAAGACTCAAAGATGAGTGGGTGTCTAGGGTGAGATGGCTTCTACAGTTGCCTTCAGCTTGGAGGCTCTCAGTTCTGCTTGGTAGTTTGGGCTCTGGAGTTTTAAAAACTGGCTGCAAGAGAACAGAAACCAAGAGAGCTTTGGGCAGAGACACCAAGGGGTCTCCAGCTGTAGCTTGCCCTTGAGAACCCTGGGAAAAGAGGGTTATGTAGGATGGAAAGGAAAACAAAGCAGAAGGCTTCATGTAACAGATTAGGGTGGCGGAGCTGTTCGGAGGAGGGCTCTGAAGGTGATGATCGGAAATTGGTTGAGGGGAAAACAAAGGTGCAAGGAAGCGTATGCCCCACCCTTTTCTGCACACATGCTCAGGATTCTACATTTTAACCCCTGGAATTTGGGGATGTGTTATATAACATGGTTTTGCCTGTGGAATTAGGAACGTGGCTTAATGATAGATTGTCCAGTGTTGAAGTGAAAGAGAAGCTGTAGAAAAAAGAGTGATCTTCAGCACGGAAGACCACATCACTGTTACTGACCTTGAGGATAGAGGAAAGGGGCCATGGTCCAAGGAATATGGGCCACCTTCAGAGCCTGAGAGTCAACAAGAAAACAGAACTTCATCGTGTATCCCCGCTACCTGCAAGAGCAAGGAAATGGAGATTCTGGAAACTCCAGAAAGTGACAGAGCCCCTACCACCTTGGTTTTGTCCTTGGGAGTCCTTGTGGGACTAGCCAGGTCCACAAGACTTCTGATCTACAACCTATGAATTAATACGTTTGTGATGTGTGATACTTATGAGAGACGTAGAAAACGGATACATCTTGAACATACGTATTTGAACCCCTGGATTTTCTCTTCTTCCCCCTAGTTAGTTTAACTTTATTTTGCCGA